TTTACACTGCCTCAATTTTGTGCTCTTACACGTAAAACTTTAATGAACATCTCTGAGAATATATGTCACCCAATTTTTGTTGTTGTTGTTTGGCCACACGACTTTGGGGATTTTTGTTCCCCAACCAGGACTTGATGGGGAAACAGGTCCTTGCTCTTAACGCTGCTCATGAGTGCTTCTCCTCAGTCTCCCATTGCCTCCCTTTCCTAACTAACAACCGCTTGAATCTGCCCATTGGAACTGAGGGAAGGTCCTGGATGCTGAATGAAGGCTGATTGCTGTAATCAAAGAAGTGGGAGACACAGAAAGGCTTGGTGCCCAGGAGCCCCACAGCACCTTGCACACCTCCAGCATGCATATCTTGGGAGTAGAAGGGCCCATCCTTTTCTGGTGGCAGCGTCTGGCAGCCTTTCTGCCTGTGGCTAGAAAGGTGTCCTCACAGCAAGGTGCCTGGGGTGGTGAGGTGAGTGGCCTTCTCTGGCTTCACCTTCCCAGCCCTTGCCTCCTGCCTTGAGAGCATCCCTATCTACAAAGCAGGGGACTGGAGTGTCTAGTCATGGCCCTGCATCCTCCCAGATTACCCAGGACACAGTTTCCAGGTTCCTGGCTCTCCTGCCCACCAGGCTGAGGGCTGTGCACTCTGAAAAGGAAGACTGAGGCACACCTGGCTACAGTTGGTCAGCTCTGAATTCTTGCATCACCTCAGGTAGCCCTCCCGTCCCTTGGAAAACAAGGCTCATCCTCTTTCCAAAGAAGAGGAAGCTAAGTCTCTAAGAGGCTAATTGAGTTGCCCAAGCCCACACTGGCAGTGAAGATGGAGCAGGGTTTGGACCAGGATCCACCTCCACGGGATCACAGGGTGGCACCAGTGATAAAGAACCTGCCCGTCAATGCAGGAGACACAGGAGACGCGGGTTCAGCCCTTGACTTGGGAAGATCCTCTGGAGCAGGAAATGGCAACCCACTCCAATATCTTTGTCTGGAAAATTCCATGAACAGAGGAGCCTGGCACGGTGCAGTCCACGGGGTTGCAAAGAGTTGGACACAACTGAACACAGACACACACTTAACCACTGTCAGGACCTTACTGCTCTCAGCGTAACCTGGGCCTCGGGGCACAAGGCTGTGTATTAAGGAGCCGCACGGCACGTTGGTGAGCTGTGGCCAAGAAGAACAGGGCAGTGGGCTGTCTATGAAAGGCAAGGAGCCAATCCTCATCCTTCCAGAAATTTCCCTGGAAGGACGGTCTCCTTCATGGCTACTGTGCCAGCTGACTATAGGCAACAGGACAGCACACTCCAGCCTTCAGAGCGCCCTTTGCCTCCCTAGAAGTGGGTCAGGAAACTGGAGAATGGCTTGGCCCACCTAGGGTGCCCCGCCCTTCCCAATTCCTCTCTCCAGCTTCTGGAGCTAGTGGAAGAGAGAATGGTGGGGCTGAGAGGTTTACCCTGTGGTCCCAGACACACACACACACACACACACAAACAGCCAACCTGAGTCATGGTTAAGAGCCATGATGTTTCTGAAGTCAGCATGCCTGGGTTTGAATCCATCTCATTCCTAGAAAGTTGTGTCCCAGTGACTCACTCTATCCTCAAATAATGGTTTCATGAGTTGTTGTGAAGGTTTGTGGAATTACTACATGTAAACCCTTGGGACAGTGCCTGGCATCATCAATGATATCAACAGATATCATCCTCCTATTTATTATTCTGAATCTGGTGAACCTAGAACAAGGGATACAGAATTAATAGCTATGGTGACGTGGGTGCTGGAGTATCAACAACGAAAGATGATTAATACACTGAAACTACCTTTCAGTCTCACGGTTGGGGACACAATGGAGTGAAAAGGACTGTGACAAACGGAGAAGTCAGTGTCCTGCTAAAGAAGGACCCGACCACCCAGCCAGTTGTCGCCATGTGAAAATTTGGGTGATGTTGCCACATCTTTGGATTTTCCAAAATTCGAATTATTATATGAAATGTTACAATTTGGGGGTAATCATTTAACAATGTATTTATTTTTGGCTGCACCAGGTCATCATTTCACAATGTATTTATTTTTGGCTGCACCGGGGTCTTCCTTGCTGTGTGGGCTCCTCTCTAGCTGCAGTGTGTGGGTTTCTCATTGCAGTGGCTTCCGCTGTTGTGGTGCACAGGCTCTCGGGGGCAGGCGCTTCAGTAGCCGCAGCACACGGGTTTAGTAGTTGCGGCCCCCGGGCTCTAGAGCACAGGCTCAATAGTTATAGCGCATGGGCTTAGTTGCTCTACAGCGTGTGGGATCTTCCCAGATCAGGGATCAAATCAGTGTCTCTTGCTTTGTAAGGCAGATTCTTTACCGCTGAGCCACCAGGGAAATCCTGAAATATACCAATTTTTTAAAGGTGGCAATTTATTCAGTTAAAAGAAAGAGAGAGACAAGAATCTTGTAGGTCAAATTCACCTCTTTCTGTGAGCCTCTAGGGTACAGCTTTCCTGTCCACCACCGCCCCAGGGCCCGGTCAGGCTTTTGTAGCCCTGGGAGGGCTGGAGAGAGCCTTGGAGGTCAGATCTGCCAAGCAGCCTTTCTGATCCCACGTCAGCTTCCCTCTCACATGTCCCTGAGAGAGAAGGGGCGAGAGTGGGGATGTCTGTGAACGAATGTGACTGTGCCCTGGAGGCTCTGCCCATCTCTGCCCCATCTGTCCAGCTTGGGGATTGGTCCAGAAACATATGGAAGAGGCAGGAGGATGACTTCATTCCATGCACTGGGCACCTACTACCTGCCAGTTACTGTTCTAGGTGGCAGTGATGACAAGAGGCCAGATGACATCCTGCCTGGATGGAGCTGATCTTAACCCCTGTGTGTGCAGGAGGGGCCGACAGTGTTGGGGTGAAACATGCTAGGAGAAGGAGAGCAGGGGAAGGGGGCCCAGGAGGAGCGCAGACCCTGAGGTGACAGCAAGGTGTCCAAGGTGTCAGAAGCCAAGGATAAGATGGAGATACGGCTGCTAGGGAAGGTGGAAGGTGACAGTGCTGATAAGGAACAGAGGCAGGCCCAGTGGGGCCTCTAGTCCTGCTGGCCACACTCTCTAAATGGCAGATGTAGGCCCAGAGAAGCTGGGTCCACTGTAGCAATTTCTATAACAATTTTTGTTCCTCCCCTGACTCCAGCTCACTCACGTCTCTGAACAGATAGAACTCATGTTCTGTAATTCCTTTGTGTTTAACACACACACACACATGCTCAAACCTTCTGATTTCTTGAGGGTAGAAAGTCCAGTTTTTGTTCAACTCTGAGGTCTCCCCACCTTTCTGTTCCCCACAGTGCCCAGAGGTAATAGGCTTCCATATACAAATGTGTTAAATTGAAATAATGGCATGGCCTCACATCTCACACCTTAGTTTCCTGTCCTGTAAAATGGGGATGATCATGGATTGGAGTGAGGAGGAAAAGAGATCAAGGCTATAAACATTGGGAACCCACATAAACTGGCCTTCGGAGGCCACCTGGGTTTTCCTCTTGCTCTAAGCCGGGTGCCCCAGGAGCTGCTGGGAAAGGCTCTGGCCCTCCTCCCTCCTGCCACAACCTGGCCTCAGTTTCCTCCTGTAAGGAAAGCTAATTGGGGCTGAGGGGGCGGGCACACACTTGCCAGGGAGGCTGGGGCCAGGGACACAGGTTGCCACAAATCCCTCCTGGCTGTACTGGTCCCCTCAACCCAAATGCTTGCTGCTGCGACTTATTTTAACTAAGCCGTTTTTTTCGTCTGTAGATGTTCCATCTCCAAGTGTGGCCGGGCAGCCCCTGCTCCCACCCCACAACCCAGGCATCCAAGCCCCCTTCGTGGGTCTGAGTCCCAACAAAGGCAGGCCCCAGGGGACCAGCAGCCACCAAATCAGAGCTCAGGCTTTCTGGGAGCGGCAGGTGGAGCCCCTGCGAGACGCAAGGTGGCCAGAAATCCGGAGCCCCTCACTGGCATCTCGGCTCCCCTGAGAACCAGCTCCCACTGGAGACGGAGAGAGGGGCGCCGTCTCCGCCACCTCCCGGCTGCCCCGTCCTCTTTTTTTTCCCAGGCTGTGGGAGGCAAAGGGTTAAATCCCATAGAGCTGATGCTCTGACTCCAGGCTAGAGGGGCCCGGGAAGCTGGGGTCACTTCCTGCTCCGTCCCAGTCACCCTGAACTGGTCCCCGGGTCCTCAGCTTGGGATCACCCCTTGAGAAGGACCCTAGAGTCCTCGGCATCTAGCCCGCCCCCCGAGGCAGGGCATTCAAGGGGTTAAGTCCCCTGGGGCTGGATCCTGCCTTCCGGCTTTTCCCAGACCCCAGAGCCGTGAGTGGGGGACGCCTGGGTTCCCGGGGGGGTGGCCCGGAGGGCCCGGGACGGCCGCCTGGGAACAATGGGGCGCGGGAGGACGGGGGCCCGGGCCCGGGCGTGAGCCCCCTCCACCGCCCCCCGGCAGCCCGGGGTAGGGGTGGGGGCCGGGCAGGGGCCGCGAGGGCCGAGGATTCTGGGAAGAGCGCGAGGGTCTGGCTGTGGGGGAGGGGAGGGCGTGAGCATTCTGGGAAGAGGGAATTCGGCCCGGCGGGCCGGGGGCTGGGGCGCCGCGGGGGAGCCGGGAATCCTGGGTGCCCCCGAGGGGCGGGGGAGGGGAGGATCCCGGGCTCGGGGTTGGAGAAAGGAAGGAGGGTCGCGGGGACCGGCTGGAGCCGAAATCCAGGGTCTGGGCCGGTGCGGGCGTGGGGGGACCGGGGCCAGGGTGGCTGCATTCTCGCAGCTGCCTCCATGTCAGGGTCACCCTGGGCCGCTCTCCACACTTCTCTGGGAGGCAGCCTCCTCCTCTTCTGCCCTCCCTCTCCCTTCGCAGTGGGGCTGGCCTGAGGTCGAGGCCCGTGCAGGCCCGAGCACCTCTCACCTCCCTCGGCCCCCTTTCCTGCTCCATGTCGGCCTTGTCGTTAACCCTTTCCCTTCTACCCCGGACCGCTGAGTTTGAATTTCTCCAGAGACGATCAAGGTACATGTAGTGGTCACCTGTCCTCAGCAAACACAGCAGGCCTCTTCAAAATAGGCAGGCAACCCCCAGCTTGGCAGAGGTCCTGGCTGCCACCTCCCCACAGGCACTTAGGGATGGGGGTGGGGGATTCTCAGAGCCTAAGAAGCTGCAGAGGTGAAGAAATTCATTTACTTCCTAAAATCTAACTCCTGTCTCTCCTGGGTTCAGCTAGCTCCTGCTTCAGTTTGGTTACCACCCAGCAGCCTCTTCTGGGGTCCTTGCACATGGCCACCCAAAGCCCAGGCCCCCATAGGGTCTCTCTTAAGGGTCTAAATGTTGTGGGGAGTTCTCCTCGCACTTAGCTCCTGTGGCCCTGTCCCCTCATCCTGGAATCTAATCACCGTTTTGGGAGTGACAGCTGCCTGTGTTTCACTCTGAGCTGTTCTGCTGCTGCCATCCTCTCCAAAGCACTGGACCAGAGAGGTTCTCTAGGAGCAAGGGGCATCTCATTCATTCATCCAGAATTTACCAAACACCTAGTACGTGTTAGGGATGGGGTACAGCAGCAACAAAAGAGAAAATGGATTAGAATGAGGGATGCCAGGATGGAACCATAGTGGAAGGCTTCAGCAGGGAGTGTTCTGTTTCTTGTTCAGAGCTCCAGGTTGTCAGGATCCAACCCCTTCTTTCATAGCCAGGGAAACCTTCTGGTCCCAGGAATTTCTCCAGCCCGTTCCCATGGCCAGCAGGCTCTGACTGAGCTGTCTTTCCCCATCTGCCCACGTTTGTGAGTTTCACATGACTTTCAAGGTCATCTCCCTCTCTTAGAGGCCAGGACATGCCAGACACAGAATCCTGCATTCCTGGTCTTAGCTCTGCCACTTCCCAGCCTGTGACCTTGAAATCTCACTGGGCATTGGTTTCCTAATCAGGAAAATGGACAACGTGATTCCCGGGTCTCCTCACAGGACTTGGGGGTGAGATGATGAGGACCACATGGCAGGCACTATGTCTGCCGTCACATGCCAGTTGGTCTGCATGCATTCATCCTGTCTCTCTTTTCCTTTCCATTTCCCTCTCAAAGTAGTTTCTGCAGAAGCCCCTGATGGCTTAAATTGCCCCCTCTCCCTACCTCTAGCCGGAGCGTCCTCTTTCTTTCTGTGCTTAGATAACGGGAAAGTGCTCCAGTCTTTTGGAATGCCCTGTCTGTCCCCTCAGGGAAATCGGGGTGGTTATTACTTTTTTTTTTTTTTTTAACTCTTTAAGTGTTCCAGCTAGTCTTGGTTCTCTGTGGGGCTCATAAGCAAAGTTTATTGGTCCCAATTAGCAGCCCCATTAAGGAGGAAAATTAGAGTCTTAATGAGCTTCCTCTGATTAACAAAATAACAGGTTTCCCAGCCTCTGGGCATCCGAGGGGTGGGGTGAGAGCCTCCTTTTCTGTGGGCGTCAGATGCTTCTCCAGCCCCCAGTCTGGGTTCAAAGGGTTATGACTGAGGAGCTTTTAATTACACTCTTAAATTCACCTACTTGCTTAGTGGTGATCTTCAGCTCTGGAGCAGAACGCAGGCCTGTAGGGGGAGGGGGTTCGGTGAGAACCGAGGCGCAGAAAAATGGGGGAGGTAGGAGACTGCAGTTCACATCAGGAGGAATAAGGGCTGGGGATGGGGCAGATGAGGGAGTGGGGCTGGGGGAGTCAAGGCAGGCTGGAGCTCAGCTCCCTGCGGCGTGTTCTCTCCCTGCCCCACCATCACCCCCAGGGTCCCTGGAGCACTGGACAGCCCTGAGTTCCGGGATGGAACCTGAGACAGCGCTCTGGGGCCCAGATCTGCAGGATCCTGGACAGAGCCCCAACGATGCTCACCCAGGTGAGGGACACAAGAAGGGACGGAGGTCCTGAGGGGAGAGTGGCCCCATTCAGGGAGGGGTGCAGGCTCTGGGAGAAACCCCGGGGGGGAGGGAAGTGAGGCCTGCCCCGGGTTCTGAAAGGAGATGGGGGCTGGAGACTCCCTTTCTCTCTGTAGGTGCAGAGAGTGGGAATGAAGAGGAGAGCGCTCAGCAGGAAAGTTCTGGGGAGGAGGTCATCTTGGGAGATCCAGATCAGAGCCCAGAATTCAAGGACCCATCAGAGATGCCCCTGGAGACACCCTCCCAGGATGCCTCTGGCCCCCAGGATGCCCCGGCCCCGCTGGGTCACCCCAGCCCCTCGGACCACCAGACCCCTCTGGACACCCCCACCCCCGAGGTAGTCCCGACCCCGTCAGACTGGACCAAGGCCTGTGAGGCCAGTTGGCAGTGGGGGACTCTGACCACCTGGAACAGCCCCCCGGTGGTCCCGGCCAACGAGCCCAGCCTGCGGGAGCTGGTGCAAGGCCGCCCGGCCGGCGCCGAGAAGCCCTACATTTGCAACGAGTGCGGCAAGAGCTTCAGCCAGTGGTCCAAGCTGCTGCGGCACCAGCGCATCCACACGGGCGAGCGGCCCAACACCTGCTCCGAGTGCGGGAAGAGCTTCACGCAGAGCTCCCACCTGGTGCAGCACCAGCGCACGCACACGGGCGAGAAGCCCTACAAGTGTCCCGACTGCGGCAAGTGCTTCAGCTGGAGCTCCAACCTGGTGCAGCACCAGCGCACGCACACGGGCGAGAAGCCCTACAAGTGTACGGAGTGTGAAAAGGCCTTCACCCAGAGCACCAACCTCATCAAGCACCAGCGCTCGCACACGGGCGAGAAGCCCTACAAGTGTGGCGAGTGCCGGCGGGCCTTCTACCGCAGCTCGGACCTCATCCAGCACCAGGCCACCCACACGGGCGAGAAGCCCTACAAGTGCCCCGAGTGCGGCAAGCGCTTCGGCCAGAACCACAACCTCCTCAAGCACCAGAAGATCCACGCCGGCGAGAAGCCCTACCGCTGCACGGAGTGCGGCAAGAGCTTCATCCAGAGCTCAGAGCTCACCCAGCACCAGCGCACGCACACGGGCGAGAAGCCCTACAAGTGTCCCGACTGCGGCAAGTGCTTCAGCTGGAGCTCCAACCTGGTGCAGCACCAGCGCACGCACACGGGCGAGAAGCCCTACAAGTGTACGGAGTGTGAAAAGGCCTTCACCCAGAGCACCAACCTCATCAAGCACCAGCGCTCGCACACGGGCGAGAAGCCCTACAAGTGTGGCGAGTGCCGGCGGGCCTTCTACCGCAGCTCGGACCTCATCCAGCACCAGGCCACCCACACGGGCGAGAAGCCCTACAAGTGCCCCGAGTGCGGCAAGCGCTTCGGCCAGAACCACAACCTCCTCAAGCACCAGAAGATCCACGCCGGCGAGAAGCCCTACCGCTGCACGGAGTGCGGCAAGAGCTTCATCCAGAGCTCAGAGCTCACCCAGCACCAGCGCACGCACACGGGCGAGAAGCCCTACGAATGCCTGGAGTGCGGCAAGAGCTTCGGCCACAGCTCCACGCTCATCAAGCACCAGCGGACTCACCTGCGCGAGGACCCCTTCAAGTGCCCGGTGTGCGGCAAGACCTTCACGCTGAGCGCCACGCTGCTGCGGCACCAGCGCACGCACACGGGCGAGCGGCCCTACAAGTGCCCGGAGTGCGGCAAGAGCTTCAGCGTCAGCTCCAACCTCATCAACCACCAGCGCATCCACCGCGGCGAGCGGCCCTACATCTGTGCCGACTGCGGCAAGAGCTTCATCATGAGCTCCACCCTCATCCGCCACCAGCGCATCCACACGGGCGAGAAGCCCTACAAGTGCTCCGACTGCGGCAAGAGCTTCATCCGTAGCTCACACCTGATCCAGCACCGGCGCACGCACACGGGCGAGAAGCCCTACAAGTGCCCCGAGTGCGGCAAGAGCTTCAGCCAGAGCTCCAACCTCATCACGCACGTGCGCACGCACATGGATGAGAACCTCTTCGTGTGCTCTGACTGCGGGAAGGCCTTCTTGGAGGCGCACGAGCTGGAGCAGCATCGGGTGATCCATGAGAGGGGCAAGACCCCGGCCCGAAGAGCTCAGGGCGACGGCCTCCTGGGGCTCGGGGACCCTGCCCTGCTGACCCCACCCCCCGGAGCCAAACCCCACAAGTGTCTGGTCTGCGGGAAGGGGTTCAACGACGAGGGCATCTTCATGCAGCATCAGAGGATCCATATTGGCGAAAACCCCTACAAAAATTCGGACGGCCTCCCCGCCCACCCCGCCCCCAAGCCGCCTCAGTTCCGACCCCCCAGGCTTCCTTTTGGAGGGAATTCCTTTCCCGGTGCTGCAGAGGGCAGAGCCGACCCGCCCGGACAGCCCTTTAAAATGCCCGACGGGCAGGAGAGCTTCAGCCACAGGCTGGGTCTGCCCTCCTCCAAGTCCTACATCTGTTCGCACTGTGGCGAGAGCTTTCTGGATCGCTCGGTGCTCCTCCAGCATCAGGTCACCCACGGCAGCGAAAAGCCCTTTCTCTTTCCCGATTATCGGACTGGCCTTGGGGAAGGGGCGGGGCCCAGTCCCTTCCTCAGTGGAAAGCCCTTTAAATGCCCCGAATGCAAAAAAAGCTTTGCCCTTAGCTCAGAGCTGCTGCTGCACCAGAAAGTCCATGCCGGCGGGAAAGCCCAGAAGAGTCCAGAGCTGGGGAAGAGCTCCTCCGTCCTCCTGGAGCACCTCAGGAGCCCCCTGGGGGCCAGACCCTACAGCTGCTCAGATTGTGGGGCTTCCTTCCTGGATCGCCTGGCTCTCATCCGGCACCAGGAGACCCATACCCGAGAAAAGTCCCCCACACCCGAGGACCCCCTCCCAGAGCCAGCCACCCTGTCCACAAGCCAGGAAGGTGAGGGAGAGGCCCCTGCACCCACAGAGAGCAGCAGCCATGAGGAAGGGGGAAGCCCCAAAACCAGCTTGGAAGAAAAGCCCTATTTGTGCCCCGAGTGTGGAGATGGCTTCACAGAAGTCTCAGCCCTCCTCCTCCATAGGAGCTGCCACCCCGGGGTCACCCTGTGAACAGGGTCTGGAGACCAGAGGCCTCTCCCTCCTGAGGGGAACACTGGGTCTCCCCAAAAGTTACGTGGGGAAAGGAGGAAAACCCTATCAGATTGTAGAGAAGCAGAGGATAAAGAATTGTGGGTAAAAGTAGTGCTTTTACATCAGTGATGAATAATCCTTTAAAATTGTTGGTGGGAACCACTTATAAGGCAGTAGAGAAAAACTGTTGGGTTAGAAACCCTATAAATATGTAGGAAAAAAAAAAAAGCCCTTTAAGTCTGTAGCAGAAAAACCCTATAAACCATAGTGGATAAAAGCCCTATTAATTGTAGGAAGAGGTCTCAATATGTCTCTAGACAACCCTATAAAACTGTATCAAAAACCTAGTGAAACTATAGGGTCGGGGAAGCACAGGGAATCCGACAGTGGCGTCGACTTGGGAGGAGGGACCCTTAGAAGGTGTAGAAGGACCTCCTATGAACTCTCTCCACAGCGTTCTCTCCCCCAAGAGTGTGGGAGGGAGCCCGTCTGCCAGAGCCGGGGACAGTGACACCGCAGAAAATGCTGGGCTGGGGGAGGAACGTGGGAATGAGGAGGAGCCCTCCGATTCCCCAGAGGAAAAATGACCCAGGAACTAGGAGGAGAAGGCCCAGTTCAAGGCACTGGGGGTTCTGTGGGGAACGAGGGCAGTCTTAGATGATTGTGTGTGAGAGAGGAAGAGGCCCGTGGAACTCCTCATCAGAAAGAACCCCAAAAATGGGGAAGAAAAAAACACGTCCAGCCTGTTTAAAGGCCAAAGTTTGGGGTGCATAAAAGCTTTAAGTGTAAGGAGACTAGGAAACCACCACAAAAATTAGGAGGGAAGATAGGGTGATTTGTTAGAGTGCTTTGAGGAAAGCGAACCAAGGTGGAGAAGCCGTTGAGATGGAACCCAACAAACCCCAGGCTGCCCAGTCCTCCCTGTTTCAGAAGCTTGTCAAACTGCAAGTACAAGCAGCTCCTAGCTCAGGCCGCCAGAGTTCCCCGCACCCCCGAGCCAGGCAGGACTCCCCTCTCCCCAGCACAGCTGGGGAATATCTTTGCTGCAAGGCCTCCAGGGATGGAGGGTCCCTCCTGCCACATTCTCAGGTCTCACTGTCGGGAGGCTTCTCCTGCAATCTAACTGCCACCAGTCCTGAGGCTGTGGCAGCCCGTTTCCTTACATTCTGTCCTCAGAGAGGGAGAAGCCTTGCTAGTCGACCTCCAAAGAATAAAGCCCTTCAGAGACACGAGGTCTGTGTGTGGTCAAATCCTGGCCAGACTTCTCTTAAGTGAAGAGCACCACCTTTGATTCTCTGGCAACAAGGGACAGCAGAATGGACAGAATCAAGAGCCTGGATTAGCCAGCAACCTGATTTTTAACCTCATTCTCATCTGAGCTGTTAGCAAGACAGCAAGAGGACACGTAGTGATGGGTGTCCTGAAGCCCCACAGACTGGACTGTGGGTCCCTGAAGAGTACGCGGAGACCTCACCACCTTCCTCACCCGGGTACCTGGAGCACTCTGAGGTTGCAGCAGCCCAGCCCAATTGTGGTCTTGGAAAGAAGACAGAGTCCACCCACTTGGTTCCTCTCCTCCTTAGCCAGAAACCTTCAGAGGGAGACAGAATGATGAGAACACACTCCCTGGCCAGGCCCATCTCCTGTCCTCACACACCATGTACGGTGACATACTTTCATTAACCCTGCCAAACCTGCTCCCATGGCGGGGAATGAGACTGTTGTCCTCTGAAATGGTTGAAGAGCAAAAACTTGTGAAACATCCATATCAAGAACCCCACCCCTTAACCCCAGAGACCCTTAAAGGAGGACGGGACCCCCTGTCCAGAGCTGGGTCCAGAGGAAGTGCCCACTGACAGCATGCTGGCCCCAGTAACGCGCTGTGGTACAAGCAGAACTGAGATTCCAGGTGGGGAGTCATGTCCCTGGAGAGGGTGACCCGGCTTCCTACAAACCTGTGGAAGAGACCTCTGATTCCATTACCTAAAAGTTCAAAAGGTGAAAGTCCTTCACCCTTCGTCTGTCCTATTCCCAAAGGGATGACCCTCAAGTTCAAAGACTGAAATCTAGAACACTGTAGGAGGAAAAGCCTAGGCCTCCTGGGGAGAAGGAAAAGGCAGGTCCTGGGGGACTATGAGAAGACCCTGATCAATATCTGCATAAAGCCCCACCCACCCAAGTGCCAGGTCAGAAAGCACCACCAGGAGGGGAGAAGGACCCTGCCTGCCTCTACTGACAGCATGGACCAGGAGGTGTCCCTCTGAGACTGAGGAAGAGGAGACCATTCTCCAAGCAGGTTTTTTTTTTTTTTTTTTTTTCCTCTAAGATGGCAGCAGAAAGAAAATTCAATTGTAGAGACAAACCCCTTGTAAAACTAGAAGCAGATCCTCTTGGAAATAGGCTTGAGGAATCAGTCTCCAGAAGGGCCTGGGAGAGCAGTTTTTGGGGCTCAGGGCCCGCCTGGGGGCAAGATGGGTGGTCAAGGCTGACTGAGGACCTATTGAGGACTAGGGTGTAGCATACATAGTAGGATGCTCGCATGTCATAGGGTGAGGGCCAGGGGTCTTGGCTGTGGTACTGAATGGATGATGTGGACACAATTAGTTGGGGTCTGGGGTTTCATAGCAAGAAAGGGGGCAAAGTCAGAGACCTTTGGGGTGTGACCTGTTCTCTGTTGCCCACCTCCCCAAACTCTTTTAGCCAGCTGCTTTCCTCCCAGAGCGAGCTACATCTTGGGAAGAACTAAGCAGGGAGCAGGCTGGGGGAGGCAGCAGCGTCGAGTCCTTCTGACCAGCTCAGGCCAAGGCCCAGGGGATCGTGGCACTTTCCCACCGGAAGTGAGTCGGGAAGGCAGAGTGAAGCCAAACCCTCCTGTCCAACTCCACGCGAGCCTGACTCTTTTGATAGGCCCTCCTGGAGGAGCGCAACACAGGGTCACAGCATCATTGGTGAAAGTAGAAGGGAGAGTAGAAACTGATCTGAGCTTAGGGTGAAACTTGAAACTGCTATGGATATGGAGGTCAGAAGGGAGCCCAGGAGAACTTGCTGTGAATCCTGAATGGCGGGGAAGCTCGAAACCATCACAACCAAGAGGTGGGGTTCCATCACACCTGCCCCTCAGGTGAGCAGCCCTGACTCTTTTGCCCCCACTCATCTGACTTGTCCCCTTGGAGTGAAGAAAGGCCCCACTTTTGAGTATTGTGTGTCAATAGCAGTGTTGTGTCAGCGGTGGTCATGTTGATTAGTTGAAGAGAATAAAGGGAATAAGATTTCCGAGGTGTTTTCTATCTTCTCTTTCAAGCTCAGAGCAAGCTGAGAGAGTCCGTTCTCGGCCAGGGCAGGGTCCACATGTAACTCAAAAGCTCAGCCCAGCCCTGTTCCCAGAGGCCGGAAATCTCCATCCGGTGCTTGCTGGTGGGAGCCTGAGGGTTTACAGCTTTAAAATCTATCCTCTTGGGAGACGGGGGGAGAAATGTGCTGAGAAGGTGACAGAGCTAAGCAGCACAACATGCTGACTTCTGGTGGCAGCCTGCTGACTTGCACTGGGCTGGCTCAGGGCCAGCTCTGCTGCCCCAGGGAGCCCTCTCTGGCCACGACACCCACACCCTCTGCAGACTGCCATGAGGCACAGCGCCCAAGATCTAGTTCCAGAAGCTGGCAGCCGCCTCCCCTGGTTCTCCTGGGTTCTGGACTGGGCCCAGCCCTTCCTCTGGACCAGAGCCTCCTAGACCCTGAGGAGAGTTGGGTGGAGACCTGGTTTGTCCTCTCACTCTCAGGATGTAGCCTGTGAGCCCCCAACATGTGGAGAGGCTGAGGCTAACAGAAAGCTGCCATTTACCTAAGTTCTACTACAAGGTGGTGAGGGAAACGAGAATGACCAGGAGCAAGCTCTGTGTACAACCAAGCCTCTCCTCCCCCACCGCTGGGCCTGCCCGGGCCTGGCCTGGGCTCCACACTGTCTGGGTCAGGCGGGGATGCGCCGCTGAATCCTTGCCGGCTTGCCTCAGCACTATCTCCTGGGTCTAGACCTTGCCCTGGTCCGAGTGGCTGCTCGAGGCAGCTCTAACCCAGGGCCTGCCTCTGCTCCAGTCTGCTGAGGGTCTCCTGCCCCAGCCAGGAAGCTGTCTCCACACCTTCCCTTTGTCTCTGTAACCCCAACTCCCAAGGCAGGCTCAATTGTCTCTTCTTTCCCTTCTCCATCTGGAAAGCAAGGGCTGGGGAAGGGGGAAAGAGAAGAGGGAATTGCATTTCATGAAGCAAGTAATGAAGACTATTCTGTACTTCCTGGAGACACTGAGGTCCATCACCACAGGAGTCCTCTGTAAACTGAGGGGACTCCAGAGGAAGAACAGACACTGGAGCCCATTGATTCTTTTAAAAGTACTGGGCGGCACTGGGTCTTGGTTGCAGCAGGTAAACTCTTCGTTGTGGCATGTGGGATCTAGTTCCCTGACCAGGGATCGAACCTGAGCCCCCTGCCTTGGGAATGCAGAGTCTTAGCCACTGGACCACTAGCAAGTTCCCCATTGGTTCTTACTTAGCAGAAGGGGTTGGATCCAGGCATAGTACCTGCCACAGCAGAGGGGCAGGAAATTGGCTAGAGGCAGTGACCTGAAGGATGAGGGCTGCAGGAACAGGAAATAGTAAGTGTCCAGGTCAAGGAGTGGGGTGGGAGCTAGAGAATGCATAATAGGTGTCAGCTTAAGAGCATAGTGGGGTGGGAACTGAGAAAAGGCAAGAGAGCAGAGGCTGGACTGTGGGGTACCTTGTTGGAGTAACTTGGGGATAAGGACACCATTGGGGGAAAGGGGAATTAAGGAGTGACATGAACTTACCCCCATCCTCCCACTCTGGCCATGAATGGTGGCAATTTGGTAAATGATAAGAGGAACACCAGCAGAGTATAGCACCAGAGAGCCCCAGGGAAGTGTTATTTATTTAAATCAAGTTTCAAAGAGCCTTGCTGTTTTTTAGATGTAAACATTTAATGTGTATGTGTCAACTCAGTTGCCTCTAACTCTTTGCAACCCCATGGACTGTAGCTCACCAGGTTCCTCTGTCCATGGAACTCTCCAGGCAATACTGGAGTGGGTAGCCATTCCCTTCTCCACCAAGGGGATTTTTAAGAGTGATTGAAATCAAATGCTCCACTGGAACCTCTGGCCAATCTCACTGGAACCTGGCTAAAACAGGTACCTTTGCCACTAAGGCCAACATCTGCTCACCCACACAGGCCAGCCAAGAGCCCAGGGTATCAGAGACATTGAGTTTACCAGTGCTTGGAAGGGATCAAGCACACTGTGGGGGAAGGGCCTGCCCAGCTCCAACAGCAGATCTTCCTGGTATTGGGCAGGCTCATCGGAAAACCAACATTTGTGAAGAACTTACTGCTCCTCCTGCAGCATGAGTGCAGCTCTTCCCACAAATTTTGGGATTTTTATCCCACTCCCTTGGGCGCAAGCTTGAGAAAGTGGTTTGGTGTCTATTAAGCATGAGGACTCGGAGTTTTTAGACCCCTCCCTGGATATAGAGACTGCTTAGGAGAGATATTTGGGGAAGTGACGTAGTCACTTGCATTTGGTAAGGAGCCCACGTGGAGGTGACTCCTGGGAAAGAGGATAGAGCTGAGAGAGGATTGGCTGACCTCGACCTGCTCCAGGGCTCAGCGCTCCTTTCTGAGCCAGACGGCATCTCTATGATGCAATCTGCTGCGTTTTTCCCCCACCCTGGCCACCACTGCCGGGGGCCGCGGACACTTCCTCGGCGGCTCGATGCCATCCCCCGCCGTGGCTCGTGCCTCGGCGAGCGCGCCCACTGCCGGCAGCCCTGCACCGGAAGTCAATGTAGCCCGCGTCTCCGTCTCGGGTCCGACCTGGACCAGCCGCTGCGGCCCCGCCGAAACCTCAGGCGCCAGGTGGAGCCCGAAGGCTGACAAGGCCGCGAGCCCCAGCGAAGGTGCGACTCCTGATAAGGCCGTGGGGTCGCGCAAGGGGGTAACTGCTGACACACCGGCCACCGCTCCCGTGGCCATGGCTCCAGTTCCAGCTCCAGCGTCAACACCCAGCCTGGTCATCACCGTCCCGAGCGCGAGCCCCAGCACAGCCTCGAAGGGTCCGGCTGCGGACCCAACAGCACACTGAACCCACAAGCGCCGCTAGACGCGGCTCCCGAGAACGTGGCCAGAGGACTGTGCAAGTCCCAATGAAGGAAGTCACCGGCTGAGGTGTCCTGTCTGTCCATCCGTAGGGGAAAGGTGGGCAAAGCCGCTGGGAAGACATGGCCCAGACTGAGTGTACAGTCCCGGCTCTCCTCTGAGGACCTGCCACTAGGTGAAAACATGGGACTACATTTCCCAGGATGCAGCTCGGGGCTCCCGGCTTCCCTGCGGCCAATGATCACGGGCGGTGGGGGGGGGGGCGTGGCGTGGCAAGCCTGAGCTGCGGAGATCTAGGGAGTGACGGCTCTTCCCGGTGGGAACAGGAGAGCAAGCTGGCGGCTGAGTGCTGACCACGACTTTCTCCTTGCAGACATGCCCCTCCCACGGGCCCAGTCTGGGACCACGGACGACAGTATAATAAGCAGGTGCCAAGAGTGAAGTCTGATCTGTGCAGGCCCTCTAGGTTCACTCACCAGCCAGGGAGGCGCTGGGAATAAGTTTTAACAGCCAAAATCCTGGACCCACGTTTAGGGCAGGAAGCCTAGCTCCGGACTATAGGCTGAGTGTTGGACGTTTATTCAAAACAACAGCCTATAAAAGACATCTTTAGAGCAGGGGCTGTGGATCGGAGTGGACCCTTGCACCTGCCAGCAGCTAGCTCCACCTCCCGGGCCCCCTCAAACTGCCCTTAGAGCCCATAAGAGTTTACTTGGGCAGACAGCACAAGAAGCATCATACAGGTACAGGCTCAGTCACAGGGCATTAGATGAAGCTCTTCTACCTGGAATGATTGGAAGTTGGCACAGCGGGCTAGTCTGTCCCTTTCCCCATGGGAAGTTCTGCCTCCACTAAAGTTAAGGCCACCCGGATGAAAGCAGGGTTGGGGTGAGGAACCCAGCAGAGACCTGGGAAGCATGAGGTGGGTGTTAAGTCGGGCCTGGGAAGGGAGGAGAGATTGGGAGCAGTCTGATTAGAATAGAAACTGATGATCTTGGTTCAGCACTCCCCAGATGAGTGCAACGTGACTGCAGCAAACTTGGAGCCTCCCAGAAGAGGACAGTGCTCCCACCAAGGGGATGCTCTTAGCATAAGACCAGACCAAAGAGCCCAAGCAACTCCACAGAAGGGAAGGTCTGCTCAGGTCTGGGGAGCCGAGAGTGAAGGAAAGTATCCCTTGGCCCCAGGGCCGTCTCAAAGCAAGGAGCTGAGGACCTGACCCACCCCTGGTCCTAACTTGTGGGTGTGTTAAGTAGGTAGTGAGCCTCCACTTGTGTGGGAGGTCACAGCTTGGGGAATTTCCACTTTTTGGCTGGGATGGGCCTGTAGAAAAAGCTGGAGAAGGGTTAGGGCCAGCTGCCAGAAAGTTTCCTTGAGTCCTCTGGGCCCCTCAGGGCTCTCACAGCAGACCTTTCCTGCAGGGCGAGTGCCTCCTAGGCTGGAGTTCTGACCATGGGGAAAAGGTGAAACAGCTTGGCCAATCCCACACCCACTAGCATGCACTAAGCCCCCTGAACCAACGATGTGGGGAGGGGCTTGGCCCACAGGGTCCAGAATGGAAGGTCGGGGACACTGGATGTGGGGTGGGGTGAGACTGGAGGCACAGCCCCCAGGGTCCATGGTGTTCCAAAGTCCCCTGAGTTACGTGTTCAGCTGATGTAGACACGGTGGAAGTCGTGGGCACCAAAGGCGGCGTTGCACTTGGGGCACTTCCTCTGGCGGGCCTCATAGCGGCCCCGCACACACTCGAAGCAGAAAACGTGGAAGCACTTGGTAAGGACTGCATCTTTCTTGCGGGTGTTACAGCAGGGGCAGGTCAACCGCGCCTGGGCCGGGCAAAGGCGTCAACTCAGGAACAGTCCTGACAGTGCCCAGATCCCAAGCTGACAGCAAGAGGTGGTTCACTCAGACCACCCCACAGAAGGCTGCACCTAACTCTCACGATAGCCCTGGGAGGTAGGGATAAGCACTTTCCACATGAGGAAACAGGCCAGGGAGCCCAGGTTTCAAAACTAGATAGTAACACAGTCTAGACTCTAACCTGGGTGGTGATGGCCAGTGGTCACAAGTCCCTGCTAAAGGTCAAGGACCCACGGGCTCCAGCCTGAGCCCCTCTGC